GGTGAAGAGCGGTAAGCTGAGTGCAAACCAAACGCAGATACATGGAGACTGAAGCGCGAAGCCGTGAAGATCAGTCGAGTCATCCGCGCTCAGCAGCGCTTCCATGATAGCGGGAAATAGCCGGGTTTAAAACTTCAGTACCGGGACAACACTATTACAGACAACACGAGGATGTGCTGCAGAGGACTGCAGTGTTTTATCACTCACCGGGTTACACAGGCTGAACTGAAGCCCAGGAGGACACTTAAGCGCATCACTGAGATTGTGATGTTGTTTGATGCTAAATTGCTTTTAATTGTTTAAAATAAACTTACTAAATGATATTAAAGTGATGGTTACATCATTTCTGCATTTTAAAATCTCGGCAACAGCTGGAGGTTTATAGTACACGGCATGTTACTGCAATGTTTACAGTGCTGGTCCTATACTTCCGGGTTTCTTCCCACCGCAGCCTCGCTTTGGTTCTTTAAAATGGCGGCCGCGTGAAATAAGCGTATAGACTGTAAACCTGGTGACTCAGGTCAGAGCAGAGAGTGATAATGTCAGGATTAGCGGAAACAGGGGAAAATGACAGCATGAAGAACTTACTGCCAATAATAATAACCGCACGTCTGGAATATATAAATATTTTGACTTTGTCATAATTAAAATAAAAGTGAAATGTCATAAATGGGTGTTTAAATTGAGATCTCAATATTTGAATGATTTATTGTGCAGCTAATGTAAACCTGCACTGAGTTTTTGTTAATGCAGGCTAATCAAGTAGTGACAGAAAACACCTTTAATGACACAAAAAAGTATTTAGATGCCACCACAACTTATTTTGTCATCATTCTATTTTGTAAGGAAGCCAAAATGCTTTTATACATTTGAAGCAATCTACAACTAGATCTACAATTGAAAAAAAAGGTAATTATCCAAAGGCCACATGGGCGCCGATCTGTGGGCTGTGATGCAAAAGGATTATGGATAAACTGTGATCCATTACACCTCTATGAGCAACTTTTGCAATGTTTAATATACAAAATAAATGGATTTAGGTTTTAGCAATTTAGTAAACATCTCTGGCACATCGAATATAAATTAATAAAACCAACTATATTAAAAATATATATATTTTACAACACTGGTGGAATGTTGTGGCCTTGAAGATAGGAGCTGCAATTGATTCAAACTCAAAATGCCATGTGCAAATGTTTGACATTGATCATGTAGCCTTAGATGAACCCATTTTTTGTAATTAGCAATAAAGTGCACCCAACTCGGAGGAGTGACTCAAATCAACTCTTTCTCTCTCATTGGAGAATGTTCTTAACAGCACCCAAAATGTTAACTATAAAAATGAGGGCAATGAAATTTATAATTACCAAACTCTTCGTGAGTCCATTTTTTGTGAAACAATGTGAATATACAGAAGTGAATATTTAATGTAAAACCTAATACAATGGTAAGAGAATGCAATACCTCCAGCAAGTTCAGTTGTAGAAAATGTTCCTGTTGAGTCTGTAGTTTTGAAGGCAAGTATGCCATTAGTTTTTTCATCAGATGTGGTAGCTGTGGTGGAAGAGGAAATGGAGATGGTTTCTTCACCCCCTGGTTCTTCTTCCACTTGTCCATTATCTGTTTCCCAACTATCACTCTCATCTTCCCATTCTTCAGATGAGGCACCACTACTGCTGCCCTCGGCAGAGTCATAATATGTTTCTTCAATTTCAGACTCAACATTATACAAGTGCTGGGATAGAAAGAACAAATGATTGTTAGTTCCAGAATCTATATGTAGATATGTTTATATGCACCACAAAGATCATTCAAGTTTAACATTTTATCCTGTATAGAATGGTGCATACCTGTGGCAAGACAATTGTCTTTGAATTATCAGCCCAAACAACTTCCACTTTACTGCTTAAATCCACCCTGCAGACTTGGCCAACAGATCTCTATGCAAACAGTCAAGATAGCAGTCAAGTTGACAGAAATTGCAAATAACAAGAATTACCAACTAATTTTGTCGTTTTAAAAATTGCAGTAGTTTACGGTACACGTTTATTATTTTTTTTTACTATTAGAAATATCAAAATAGTAAACTATAACATTCCATTTTTTTTGGGACCAAGAACAACAGCATGGTACCTAAAAAAGCTCAGAACAGACCAGAGCTCAAACAAAGCTTGTTGATTTCTTGTGACAAACAGCCACATTACAAGCAAGAACAGGATTCTCTCCATGTCCCATGGTTTACTGAGCTGTTTCCATGTCGTATTTAAAAATGTGTGGAAAAGAAAGCATGTGGGGTTCTCTTTATTTGCGTGTGCTTGGCATATGTCTAAACATGAAATATGAAGTTGAGCATGCAAAAGAAGAGCATGCAAAACACAATATGTGAACGACCTGTATGGCTTTCATCTTCGAATAAGAATCATGTCAATTCCACTTTCTATTGTACACCATGCCTACCAAAAGTACTATAGACAGTGGAAACATACTGTACTGTACCATATTGCTCAGTGGAAATTAAGCATTAAAGAAAAATGTAAAGTTATAGTACATTTTAAACTACAAAATGAGGGTCATCTGATATTAAATGGACATTGACAATGTGGTAAACATGTTTCTCCAAGCAACTATCTTTTTTAAAATCTATTTTTTGTACCTCAGTTCCGCAGTCCTCTGTACCAGAATTGCCAATCCTTATGATAATATCCGTTGTACGAAAATGGAAATCTGGATGATCAGCAATGTCATAAACACTAACATCGTCTTCCTCCCCAATCACCTATAAGTCCAAAATAAATCTTTTAAACAATTTAAAAATAGACTATCGTAAACATATCTTAACCCGAAAATCAATCATACCTCAACATCATCACCTGCAGCATTGAGTTTAACCCACTTGACGGCACATGTTCTGGCTTTATGATCACCTGACTGAATCACCCCGTAGATGGCTGGATCTTGAAGAACCTGGGCTATAGGAAGCACAAAAAGCATACTTTTTATATCAAGTGAACAAAAAGCAAGATCTTATAGCAAGATCTTATAACATGATCTGTGTAAAATAATTAGTAAACTATTGAATTGTAAAAGAGTATAAAATAAAAAACAAGCAAAACAACAATCATACTGAAAATGTATACAACCGTGTTATAAAGAGAGCTTACGCCGCTTGTCTACAACATAATCTCCAGGGCAGAACTCATGGTTGTCAAGGTGCTGGATAGGGATTAAATCATTGGAGCGGATCCCTGTCTCTATTTTACCATCCTTCCACATCACATCTGCAGAAGTTACAGTGGAGACAACTTCAACTGCCACCCTATGTACAAACAAACACAACATTGAAGAGATTTGTCAGAAATATGATTGACTTAATGTCTACTTAAAACCTCTGAGCGGGTATTGTTAGAATATCTGATCATAATTCAATATGTAACACATTTAGGAAATAATTATTTAATGAATGCTTCATTGTGCAATTTCATGGGAGACATACCTATAACTTTTTAGAGTGTGTTGCAGGCAAAATTAATAATAATAATAAAAATAAATTAAATTAAATTTATTTATTTATCTATATTTCCATAATTCCAAATTGTTAGTATTTTTTTAGATGAACATTTTTTGAGTAAAACCTGGAATAGATTTTTAGCATTAGGTCAAGTATGACAAAAAAAAAAAAAGCAAACAGAATCCACAAAAGATAGACAGAAAAATAAAGAAAACAGAGTAGAGAGTATTGGTGGCAAATTAACTTATGACAATAAGACAGAAGAATAGTGAGTGAAAAATTGCATTTTTAAGAGGTTAAAAAATAAGTTGTGATGAAGCATTGGGTTTACTGAAAGCACAAAAAGTTATTGGTTGTCTTGGAAGGAGTTATGGTTGATCTAACTAACTGAATGGATAAGTTGAAGATGAAGCACCGGGTTGGCCGAAATCACAAGAAGGTCTGTCTTGGTAAGACATGAAGTTAAAGATGATGGTTCACCATTCAGTACGATGAGATTTAAAATGTAGAATGTGTGTTTATTTTATTATACCCAATGGTAAACAGTTGCTTGTGGCAACCTCTGTTAGATACAGTTAGTAACTTTGGGAGCATTTTTTAAATATGTGGTGAAAACTATTTGGTGCTAAAGCAAAGTGTTTTATTTCAAAGTTGAGTACTGCATTATCAAACACAATACTGGATCATTTCCGAACACACAAATCAGTGATATTTGTTTGTGTATTATTTCACCTGTCTCCTGGTTTAAATTCACGAGAAAATTTTGTCCTCTTCTTCTTGTGCTTTCTCTTTAAGTTGCGAATAGATAGAGGAATGCTTTTTTTTCGTGTTGGGCCACTTTGAAGTGAGGCTGTAGAGCTAGCAGAAGAAGTAACAGAGCTGGTATCATCAGTGTTATCCCCTGGCTCCTCATCTGAATCTGGGTCCCCCAAATGGGCCCATTGTTCCTGAGAAGCATCAGGTGATGGCTCTTTCCCCTCTTCCAGATAATTATGATCAGGATCATTGTTGGAGTAGCATGGAATGGAATTAATACCAGAACAGTCCTGTTCTTGCACTGATTCTTCTTTACCTGAATAATAGGATATGGTAAAAAAAATATATATATATATATGTGGTTGGAATTTACAACAAAGTGAAACATTTCTTATTTGTTACCAATTCAAACAGTAATGTTGAAGTAGCAATATTATAAACAACATTGTGTATTAAAGGGAAATCTATATATACCTTTGCTGTCCTTTTTCTCAAGTGGCTGTAAATTGATGTTCAGTGTATCTGCATTTTCGGTAACTCTCTTTCCAGCTTCCTTTCTAAACATTCTTTTTAACTAAAAGGTAAACAAACAAACAAACAAATTAATAAGTAAAGAAGTTATAGGGGAACTATTTTGCCCCCTTTTCAAGATTTAAAATAAGTCTTTTGTGTCTACAGAATGTGTCACCTCAAAATACTCATCAGATTAATTATTATACCTTTGTGTATATTGGAAATTTGAGCTGTTTAGACTTTGTAGCTTTGTAGAGATTGAAGCATCTTCTTTTGTAATTGTACTAATCATGCAACTGCAGGATGATAAATTACAGCAATTTTACTGCGTTTATTACAAACATTCACTGTTTTAAAAACATTTTTGCACTTGTGAAAAATGTAAAAACATTTTTTCACTTGTGAAACTCATTCTTGAGGTGCTGCTGATCATAGAGAGATGAAGAGATTGTTTAATCCTGGTTGCTTTGGACACGTCTTGTCTTGTGGATATGATTATACGTGTTACTATAGAGACATGTTAATACGAGGCTGTCAAAAAAGTTGGTGGGCGGGGAAACAGCACTCCTACGTCACGTTGCAGTGGGCCTCAAAATGGAAAGGATTCAGATCCCATTTTTAACATTAGTAAAAAAAAAAAGACTAATTGTGTTTTTATCACTCCAATATGACTGTGGACACACTATACCTTCACAGGAATATGCATAAAATCCACTCATTTAGTAAAACTGTTTAAACTAAACAAATATGCAATCGCAATTTATAAAACATGTTTTTTTTTTTATCAAACTGCAATTATTTTTGAAAGATAAACAGTCCATAAGATATTTTCCAAGTAATAGGTTATTTTCTTGTCAACTCAACCAGAGGTCCTCAGCTCATAGTCAAAGGAATACATAAATTAATGAGAGGCCAAAAACTTAAACGTAATGAATGCAAAATTTACAGAATAAACCTCCTCAGAATTCAATACAATTCGTGCCAATATTCTAGTATCTAAACGTATTGCGTTAGAAGTAATTCCTTATCTGATTAGTTGGTATTTTTATTTTCTTGCAAACAGAATTCAGATAGTTAAACTGAAACAACAGTTTTATCTATCCCAATATAAACGAATGTTAAAGCACCCCAAGGTTGTGTGAGACTGCCTTGCAGACAGATCTAATCAATTGATTTTAAAGCAGCAGATTGTTTGTTTGTTTGACTTTATTAATCCCCAAAGGGAAATCCATAAAAAATAGATAAAATAAGTAACATATGTATAAAAAAAATAAATAAATAACAATGATGCTGCATACCTTAGTTCCAAAAACAATGAGTAAACACTTGTCCATAACTAATAACTATTTCAATTCAGCACAATTAATTTAGTATGACTTTGGTTGTACAATCTGATGACTGTTGGTAAAAACAACTTCCTGTATTTTTCTCTGTAACACCGGGAATGAATTAATCTTGCACTAAAAGAACTTGCACACGCTTGGACTGTATCAAAAAGAGGATGATTATCATGGTTCATCATACTGACAAATTTGTCCAGCATTCGATTATGTGCAATCTCTTCAATAGTTGGTAGTGCACACCCCACAAAAGTACCTGTCCTCTTCATAAGCTTATTTCATTTGTTTTTCTCATCCAACTTTCCCCCTCCCTAGCAGGTTACAGCATACAGGATCACAGAATACACCACAGAATCATAAAAAAGCTTTTAACAGTGTCTGACACACACCAAAGGACATCAGTCGTCTTAATAAATGAATGCAGCTCTGATACACCTAATTTTCAGACCAATAGAGCTTGTTGTTTAGATATACTGTACACCCAGTAGGCTTGGGCGGTATTACGGTATACCGCAGGATCAAAAAATAGCAACGGTGTCAGTTTCAATACTGTTATACAGTCATAAAATATATAATACATACTTTATTTAATGCCTACAAAAATGTATGTGTGATTGTCATCACAGGAAAGTGTGGAGGAGAGAGAGAGGGGGTGGGGGAGGGAGGGGGAGTGGTGAGGTGACGAGTCGCGCTCCAAAGTGACCTGCAGTTTGGAGGTCAGAGAGGTCTGCATTAGAGCTGAAGATCTTTGCCTGAACCCGGTGGGACCCGAAAAAATCCTAATAACTGCATTAAAATCCATCCCTGCAAAGGTGAAACAATGATGACAGAGAAGTTAAAAAAAGCTCATTTTGACGGCGGTCAAGCCAGTCAGTAGCTCAGAAGGAACTGTCATTCTAGCCGCAGAGGTATTTCGCCGGTCGCTCATACACTGCGTATTACGGTAGAGCACAAACCGCAAGCTGACAGGTAAAAAGGCGAGAAAACTCGCTACTTTGAAACTGCTGTCATGGCAAATTAAATGGATGTTCATGACTGGTAGAAGATGAACAAACAATCCTACCCAAAACTTGCAAAATTAGCCAGATCAGAACTCTGCATTTCAGCCTGTAGCAGTAGGAAAGGGTGTTCAGTTCTGCTGGACGCATCATCGGTCCTGACAGCAAGACTGCGCTAAAGCCAGTGGATTTAATAATGTTCCTCCACAAAAACACGTAGCCTAATCTTGGTGAGTAAAGGGTTTTTCAATTATAAATGAATATTAATTAAACCATATAATCATAATGTAGACAGAGTATACAGGCTAATGTTGGCAATATTATTTTATAATTCAGCTTCACCGTTGCCTCAATACCAGATTGTGAAGAGAAGTGGCGAAACAAATCTCGCAGAGCCTTTATCTTAATTTCGTTTTTGCCAAAATACCCATCATTATTTAGAGTTTATTTTAATTCGATTTGTTAAGCAAGACTTCTTTTCATTGGTGTGTTAGCCAATTTAATGGCTAAGGGTATGTAATTAAGTTAGGCCTATTTAAAGTGCTGAGATGTTATGACGTTACAGAGTAATTTATTTAGACGCATTTAATTTTTTGTTCCAACTTCCAAGTGGCCTATAGTCTACGTTTGTTACGAATAAATTATGTTAAAACATATAAATGACTCATTCTTGAAAAAAATGCAAAAGAGCTGTGTGCATGAGCACATTTGTATAATGTCGGGCTGTAAACGGGTTCGGGCTTTAAAACATATCAATCGAAATGCACCTGTCGGACTCAGGCCCCATCGGGTATAATTTTTATGGCCCAATTACAGCTCTCTGCATTCCCGCTGCTGTACCGCGGGAACCGACCAGATTTTCTTGTGATGCGGGAGTAAATTTCTAAATAAACCGCGGGAGCGATGTGTGTGTGTGTGTGTGTGTGTGTGTGTGAGAGAGAGAGAGAGAGAGAGAGAGAGAGAGAGAGAGAGAGAGAGGTGCTGTGCTTCGCTTCTCTTTCTCTGTTTCTGTGTGTGTGTCTGCATGAGAGGAGTGTCCCGCGCAGAATACAAAGACAAACAGGTGACCGCAAGCCTAAAGTTGCATATAGGTTATTTAGTTTCTGAATGGTTTAGGCACAAGCTAACAGTTTGGTGACGCTGTCTGAGCCTTACGTCATAATTTTTTTTATTACGCCGGTAATACCGGGGTAAAATATGGAGGCGGTTTGACGGTATCAAAATTTGGATACAGCCCAAGCCTAACACCCAGGTACATATATGATAAAACATTTCTGACTCCTGAATAATCACTGGATGTCTACTAAAATCAACAATCATCTGGTCTTTGGTCTTATTAGCGTTTAATTTAAGACATTTTGTTTTACACCATTCAGCAAAACTTTTAAAAAGCAACCTATACTCACTCTCATCATGATTCCTTTTGTAACCTACAATTGCAGAGTCATCGGAAAACTTCTGTAAATGACAAATTTTGGAGCTGTATTGAAAATCCGACATATAGAATATAAATAAATATTGAGCTAAAACTGTTCCTTGAGGAACACCAGTGCTACTCATTATAACTTGTGACCCACAGTTATGCATCCTAACATACTGTGGTCTATTTGTGATATAGTCAATTAACCAACTTACCATACTTTTTTGTAAACCTGCGTTTTCTAATTTTGCCCTCAGTAGTGCAGGCCGGATGGTGTTGAATGCACTTAAAAAATAAAAAAAATGTGATCCTAACAGTATTACCTGATGTTTCTAGATGTGTAAAAGATAAAAAATTGCAACATCTACCCCTACACCAGTTTCATACGCAAACTGCAGTCTGTCCTGAGAAGCAGTCAACAGCTGCTTTATATAATTTAAAACAACATAGTATTATTAACTTCACCTCCATGAACTGCTTTTAGAAGCGAGTCAGTAAAATGCGCTGAAACTTTGTGAAAACAAAACACACAATGATGAGAGAAGTATCTCTAGAAAGCTTGAAGTGTCTACTTTAAATTCAGCTATGCATCATGAAAACAACATTGGTTGATAAAGTAATCAGAATGAAACCAACGCTATGTCTAGTTTCTCAGTCTGATCTTATTAGTTTTAATGCGACCACGCCCACGGGGCATTGTTATAAAAAGCGTCTGCATAAGACGCGTGCAGACTGTGGTCAGAAAAACACATAATTAAAATAAAAGGAAACTTAGCAAATACTAATCAAAGATGATGATTAATGATATCTATATAAAGCTTGGTATGTCTACTTTGAAATAACCAATTCAAGTCGAAAACAAATAATCTCTTTTTATGTAATCCTTATAAAAGTAAGGACTGGTACGGATTCTCCTATATTGCCTCATTACAGCTAACGTGATCCCACCTTTCATTAAGCATGCTGTTCATATGTAAATTTCCAGATGTGAAAACAACAGTGGTAAAGGACCAGTGGCAAAGAGAGCTGAAGTTGAAAAGAAGTGCTCCGAGTTTGCTCAGTAATGAGAGTAATGTTTGTCTGTGTCATGCCGACAAACTATTAGATGAGGATGTAGAATACTGCCTTTTTCCTGCATTCCTCCCCATCACAAGGTACCTGTCTACAAGGCTACATTTCTAAGTGTACTTTGTAAGTTTTTCTTTAAATTATTTCTGTAAATATTGAATGAGAAGATTATAACTTGCGCCAAAAGCTTTTGTGATGTTTAAAACGCGCGAGCACTGCCTTTTTCTTGCATGAA